GCGAAAGGGGCCTCGATTTAAGCCTTATCTGCTGCTAAATGCCTTTTCCAATCTGCGCTCCGCTCATCTTTTTAAATTTCATTGTGTGTAATTGTTGGCGTCTCTCATGGGGCTACGGCACAGTTAACGATGGCCTCCTGCACTTGTTGTGGACCTCAACGTTGCAGAAGCGGCAAAAGAACTGTGTACGGTGGATTGAAAAAGTCGACACACCCCCTGTACAAATACGACACCAAAATGAGGCGAATTTTTTTTTTCCCCCACCATTAACGCTTTCAGGGACAGCGGTTACTACAGTGGACAGCCTCTCGTGTTATCAGGATGGGTTGTCATGATTGGTGGATGAAAGGGTTAATGTGACCTGTAACCTTTTGAGAATCCCTCCGCCCCGCCCCGGCAAGATTTAGCGGCGATGTCCAGCCTCTTCTTCCGCGCTCATGATCTCGCGGCCTCATCACATAGGAGCGACATTGCGATGCAGATTCTCAGGGCAGCGCCGGCGTTTGCGCTTTAATCTGGCGCGGCGAAGAACATCTGAAGGAACACGGCGAACGGGAGCTCTCCGGAGTGTACTGCGTTCCTTTTCGCGCGCGCTCTCTGCATTCATTGTGTGCTCTTTTGTATGGGAAGTTTCCCATCCTTCCCCTTGCAGATCCCTTTATCTTTTCCTTGGACTCATTTCCCAAACGACCCCCGCCCCCCACCTCAACTCACATCTAAATTATAACCCCGGAGTATAATTATTCCCACTAATAGATAACCTCCGATCCATCCTGAGTGGCCGCTAATGAATGGAAGTCACGCAGCAGCCAGCTTCTCTTGAGGCCTCCAACACGTTCGCAGCTTCTGTGACGAGTGTCTTGCCGCAGTGGTGGGGGGGGTCGTCTATGTGAGTAGGTGCGTCGCTTGCGTGTGACAACTCGAGGAGATTTGCATCGCATCAGAAGGGAAAGCTCCCAAAGTGCGGTTGGGAAAATGGAGCCCAAAGCTGGAATGAATGAAATGTGACTCGGAGAATATTTGGCTTGATTTTCATTCATGACAATAGATTACATTTTTTTTTTGGTTGCATTGTATTTGATAAGGTGTTTTTTTTTTTAACAGGGTGGCACGGTGGACAACTGGTTCGCACGTCCGCCTCACAGTAGAGAGGTTGTGGGTTTGAATCCAGACCCGGGCTTCCTGTGTGGCACATTCCCCCCTGTCCGCACCACTCCTTCGCATGCCTCCGCCTTAAGTGGCGACTTAGTGCATCACGTAGCCTTCATGGCTTGAGGTAATTTCGTATAGACGTGGCGCAAGTCACTCAGAATTCGTGTCAGCCATGCTTGTATACTATTTAATGCCTTGATAGCAAATATGCAAATTAATGCGATGTAACACATTGTACAGGGTTAGGAGTGTGTCAAATTATTGGGACAGCTTGTGCGCGTGTTTGGCGAATGTGCCACGTGAACAACTACCACGTACACTTTGATCCGCGCTGTAAGTGCCGGTTACGTTGAAAGGTTTAGAAGTCGCCCCGGGGGAGGCAAACCGCGCATTAATTACATTTTAGCGGCGTTAACTTGTCACTGGGGGAAGCGTAGGACACACACGTGTAGGATTTTTATTGATTTAACTTGAAAGCCGTTTTACATTCCGTCTGCAGAACAACATCGAGATGAGCGTTGAACAATTGGCTAGCCTCGGGCGAGCTATTTTTAGTTTTTTGGGGGGTTTTTAAACGCTAAACTAGCAACAGAGTTATGTATGAAACTTTCCCCTCAGTTATAGTAGATTTGTACCCCCCAAAAAATATTACAACTGTTTTTGTCATTAGAATTGTTTGATTTTTTTCACTTTTTGTGCAGAATCGTGCAAAATTCAAGCGACAACCCGGGGGAGGCAAACCGCGCATTAATTACATTTTAACGGCGTTAACTTGTCACTGGGGGAAGCGTAGGAGACACACGTGTAGGATTTTTATTGATTCGACTTGAAAGCCGTTTTACATTCCGTCTGCAGAACGACATCGAGATGAGTGTTGAACAATTGGGTAGCCTCGGGCGAGCTATTTTTAGTTTTTTGGGGTTTTTTTTTTAAACGCTATACTAGCAACAGGGTTATGTATGAAACTTTCCCCTCAGTTATAGTAGATTTGTACCCCCAAAAAATATTAGAACTGTTTTTGTCATGAGAATTGTTTGAAAAAATCAAACAATTCTAATGACAACTTTTTTGTGCAAAATTCAAGCGACAGCAGCATCCACTGATTCCGAGAAGTATCGCCGGGAAGCCCTCCGAGTGTGACGCTTTGCAGCGCGACAGCCGTCAAACGCACCATGAAGCTGCCTGGACTTGAAAGCCGTTTTACATTCCGTCTGCAGAACGACATCGAGATGAGTGTTGAACAATTGGGTAGCCTCGGGCGAGCTATTTTTAGTTTTTTGGGGTTTTTTTTTTAAACGCTATACTAGCAACAGGAAAAATTCACGTGTTACTCTTTCCATAATCGCTATCGTGGACCTCCGGGAGCAAAAATCAACTCTGCACCCGCGCGCGCGCGCGCACACGTTGTGGTCTTGTGACGGCCAAAACTTTCCCCTCAGTTATAGTAGATTTGTACCCCCAAAAAATATTAGAACTGTTTTTGTCATGAGAATTGTTTGAAAAAATCAAACAATTCTAATGACAACTTTTTTGTGCAAAATTCAAGCGACAGCAGCATCCACTGATTCCGAGAAGTATCGCCGGGAAGCCCTCCGAGTGTGACGTTTTGCAGCCCGACAGCCGTCAAACACACCATGAAGCTGCCTGGCTTGTCAACTCTTCTAAACACACCTCATTTCACCTGCCCCATAAGGTACGTCTCCTTCTTTATCATGCGGCATCCCATTTTTAAAAAAATTCACGTGTTACTCTTTCCATAATCGCTATCATGGACCTCCGGGAGCAAATATCAACTATGCACCCGCGCGCGCGCACACACGTTGTGGTCTTGTGACGGCCGAAGCAGATTTGCCATGAAATTAGAGGAGCGCATACGCACTCCCAGACGAAAAAAACTCTTCTTTTTGATGACCCGGCTAACCTTTGACCTTCACTGCATTGCCGTGAGCACTGCAACGTTTGCTGAGAAGTGAACAGCAACATTATCGCTGTGAGTGAGAGTGAGAGAGGTCCTCGCAGCTATTTTAATATGGCGGAGATGAAAAGGGCAACTTGAGGGCGACTCCAGGCCTCGGCTCAATATGTTCCCCTTCATTTACACCAGGGAAGCTTTTCCCTATCAGTTGTTATAAAGTCCTCCGAGGGCCAAGCTAAATCTTCATTATTATGGATTACGAGCATTTGCCGATTGAATGGCCTCTGAGATGGAAATTGATTTGTTTCTTCGCCCCTATTCTCAGGGCAATTTATCTATCCATATTCATGAATATTCCTCCTCCTGGTTAGAATTGACATTAAATTTGTTGAAAATTTGGTTTGATTGCACCCCGGTCAATTGAAATTCAACCCTAGGAGCCAGTTTCACTTGGCAACATCGAACCTGGTCGGTGTGTGTCGATCATGACCGGAAAAATAACGTTTCAAAAACGCATACCTGGAAAGACTGTGTGGCATGTCTATCATGAGTAAACTCACACACAAAAAAAAAAAAATCGTACAAAGTCATAGTCGGTAAGACACAGGAAGTTGTGAACCCAAAAATTGGCCTTGGTAGTGACTCTTGGAATGTTTTAAAAATTCAGCATCTGAAGCCAAGTATTACTTGGCAACATGAAATTTGGTGGTCCATGTCTATCTATTATGATCAGAGCCAACAAAAAAGTCTCATGAGCCCATACCTGGAAAAATACAAAAAATTGGTTCTTGTTAATCCAAAAATTAGCTTAGTAGTACCTCTGGAATATTTTTTAAAAATTATCCCCAAAGCAAGTGTCATTTAACAACGTGAAATTAGGGGGACATATTGATTATGAGTAGCCCCACAAAAAAGTCCCAAGACCCCATACCTGGAAAGAAACAAAGTCTCACCTTTTGGTTTTAAGTGGCCGTTCTTGGGTAATTTCAGCCATTTCTAAGGGTTCTTCATAGAAACTACTTTTTTTTCTTCTCTAATTGAGCACTAGAAACCAGGTTTACAAAATTCAAAATACATTCTCTATCCTGTCCCATACTACACTTTTTTTTTTTACTTACATGCATGCTGAGAACAACAGCTAAGTTTGATGACACACCATCACCACAAAACTCTCATAATGCAAGTCTTGTCAATGAATAAAGTGACTGAAGAGGTGAATCAACACAGCTGCACTTCATCCTTATTCAAATTCGTGTGTGTGTGTTTGCTCGGGAGGAAAAAGGCAGCGCTCATCAGCATGGCGTGAGTTCATACTGTACGTCCAGATTACAGTTTTAAATTTGCACGGAGTTATTAAATATTGATTTCATGTGCTTTCCTAGTGGGGAACCGGAAAATAATGTGCTGGGTGAACATTGCCACTTTATGTGATAATGAAGTGAGTGGAGATTCAGCATTCACTGCAAAGTACTAAAACGGAATAATCATGCGTCATGAGTCATGTTTTTTTTTAGCTTTCTGAAAACGTCACCATTTAAATTATTCTAATCCTAATATTCCAGCTCCCCTTCTTTAACTACATTTACCTCACCCAAAAGCGAAAAATGCAAAGGCAAGAGCCTACGTTGAAGCCTTTTTTTCAAAATTGATTCCAATCATTCATTCCCCCAAAACACCCCTATAATGACAATATGAAAGCCCAAAATGGTAAAGTCATTTCATTTTGTGTTCTTTAATTAATTTTTTTGTGGGGTGAAATTGATTTTTCTCTTTTTGAACTTGGCGTTGAAAGTGAACGGTGCACCGCCCCTCACCAGCATCTAAAATGGTACAGTCTTTTCACCTTGGGGTGGGGTGTTAGCTAGAAGGCTAATAGCAAATGTTACTCCCCTTTTTCAGAGTCCAACATGGTACGGTCCTTTCACCTTGTGTCCTCTGTGAACCAGGAAGTAGGTTGTTAGCCAACAAACAATTGAAATATTCGACGCCATGATTATTTTTGGGAGAAATTTCATTTCTCCTTGAGTCAAAATGGAAGTGTCCACCTCAGGATTCCAAATGGTGCGATATTTTTCCCTTGTAGTTCTCTGTGAGACATGAAGTAGTCTGCTAGCTAACAAACTGATCAAATTACACAACCCCATTATACAGTACTGTATATATGTGTGTGTGTGGGTGTGTGTGGGGGGGGGGGGCACGCCCTTTTACCTTATATCCTTACTCAATTGTATCCATTTATGTGACATTTCAACCAAGGTGGAGAACTGTACCATCCTTTTTGTTGTCGTCCCCCCCACCATAGTCATTTCTACTCCTGTTGGTTCATCTGACATCATTGTTAGTGTGTGAATAAGATCACAGCATGTGTCTGGACTGTGGAATGATGTCTTTATTTACAGCACTCAATGGACCGCGTAGTTGTGTTTTGCAGATTGGCGCGTGGGTAGTGTCGCTGTTCCACACGGATGTTTGCCAACAAACCGAATATACGGCGCTTTGTACAAAAAAACAAAAAAAAACCCAAACAAACCTCCTCCACTTGTTATATTCCAACGATTTTGCACGTTTGCATGCACGGTAAGACTGGAATGTGTTTGTGTATGACACAAGTTAGTCCACAAAGTGCAAAAAAACAACACAACGCCGGCACAAAGACGTCCACAAAAACTTGGCCCGATCTGTGCCGCTGTATTTTTCCAGAAAGAAAATACCAAAACAATCTGACTGTTGTCCATGCTTTCTTCTGTTATCTTTATTCGTCTCTCAGCAGCTGAGGATCTTGATGAAGGCCCTGCGGAACTCCACGTTGAAGGTGGTGTATATGATGGGGTTGAGGGCGCTGTTGACGTAGCCTAGCCAGGTGAAGGCGCTATAGAGGCCCGGTGGGACCGCGCATGTCCTGCAGTGCGTGTTCAAGATGTGCGTGACAAAGAATGGCAGCCAGCAAATGAGGAACACCCCTGAAAAGGTCAGAGGAAAAAGGAAGTGTCATATTTTTCACACAGTAGTCAAAACAGGGCTGATTATTTTTGGACTATGATTATTAAATAAAAGTCGGAATTTTATGGGAATAAAGGGAGGGGGGAAGTGAGGGGGGTCGAGAGAGAGAAAATTCTGAGGAAAAATGTATGATCATAAAACTAAGTTCATATTTTTCTTGTGATCTAAAAGAAAAAAAAGTTGTCTACATTGTTGACAACATATTAACGTCTCCTCACCGAGCACGATGGCCAGCATCTGGGTGGCTTTCTTCTCGCGGGCGTGCATGCTTCTGAATCGGGGATTGTTGGTGTTGAGCGGCCTCAGCGTGGTGTGCGTTCGTCCGTTGGAAAGATCCTTCACCTCGCAGCTGGCGCCCACAGACGGCGCCGCCTGCCGGTTGTTTTCCGCTGCCTTCGCCACACTGTTCCCGGACCCCGGCGCCACCTCCTCGCGCTCCGCGTCTAATTCGGTGCGGCCGCAGGAGGCGTGGCTTATGCTGCAGTAGTTCTGCGAGTCCAGCCTGGGCAGCACTGAGTTCTCCACGGGTCCTGTTTTGGGCCGTTTGCGCCACAGACATCCTGACAGCAGGTCGGATTTGGACGGGCCTGATGGCTCCACGCACTGCTGCCAGGATCAAAACAACATCGTAAACGTGGAGAAGTCGCATGCGAGTTTTCAACGTTTACAAAGGGCAAAATTGTAACACTGTAAAGAAAATTACAGCGTAAATCCGACATTTAATAACGCTCACCACTTTGATCCTTATAGGTGACAGGTCGTGGTTGGTCTTGGCCGCGTCGTCCCGTAGACACGTCTCCTGTTGGATCAGAAAGGCAAGTTAATTCTTCAATCATCCGGATGATAATCTGTCACCGCCTCTCCCTCGTATTGATTATCTCATCGATGAGTCGACTACTCAGATAAAAATTGAGTTCACGTCATCAAACAACAAACATTATAGCTTTAAAAGGTGGGGCTTGAGCTGGTGAGTGACATACGCCTCAACCGATGATATTGAGTCTAGGAGTAAAATGAATCCATGTGGAGTTTTCAAAATAGCCGCTAATGAACGCAACCTCCACTGGAATGATGGCTGTAACTGGGACACATTGTCTAATTTGAATGTTGATTAAAAATAGAGAATGATGTTATATTTAAGCCATGGTAAATATGATTGACTTAGCATGCAAATGACTTTTTCCCCACTGAGACCAAATAACTGCTTTCCTGTTACAGTATAACAATATCATATTGCAGTACTGCATGTCGCTGTCCATCAGCGTGATTACACATTTAGTTTTGCGTCGCCGAAGGTCACATTGCGCTCGTGTGTGTGTGTGTGTGTGTGTGTGTGTGTCAACGCTCAGTACCACCGACATGACAATTACACCCCCGTGTCAACCTTAATAAAAATTCTTCTTTTTCATTATTTAGTCAATTTAACGTCTTTCGTTTCCATCCAGTAAAACCTCCAAATTAATACGAACAAGCGTAAAAGAAAATGACTTCATTGATCAACTTTTATTGGGGAGGAAAAAAAAAACAAACTACCAAAATTGATATAAATGTGCCATTGCTAAAAATCACGTGACCAAACCCATTAAACAGGTGAGCTGTGACGTTCACAATGCAAACCTGAGGGCACTTTCAGTCGACAACATGGGGCAGTTCAGAATTTTTTAAAAATTACCTAATGACCTAAATGTTTTAGTCTTTCATGCACCACAAAGGCGAGCCCATGTTGCGCTATTGCTACCTGTACCACACTTTGATAATTACTGAGCTCCGGAAAAATGGACTTCTGAGGTTCCATCACACCTCAAATGAAGCCATTTCCTAAAAAGGTTGCGCGTCATTTAAATCGAGCGCAGAAGGAAATATTACGAAACCGCTCTGACCACAGAGGGCGGCGTGGAGCCGGGCTGCACTTTGCCGCTGGCTTGGCTGAAGGTGATCCTCTTCCTCCTCATGCGAAGGAAGACATAGATGCGGATGTAGACCAGCAACGTGACCATGAAGGGCAGGTAGAAGGACACCACCGACGAGTACACCACAAAGTCGGGGTTGGAGATGGAGCACACCATGGGGTCGTCTGGAGAAACAAAACGCACTTTAGAGCTACTCAGAACTAGTTTGGGCAGACTCCATTTTTGCCGTTTTCAAAGGAAAGGGATTTAAAAGGTTTTAACGGACTAACCGACATGTCAAGTCGACCACTTAGTAACGACAATTAGAAGTTTAACTCTTTGGATGAGATCTCTGTGTATCATACAATGCAGACGCTTGTGAACAACCGTTTTCAAAGGAAAGGGATTTAAAAGGTTTTAACAGACTAACCGACATGTCAAGTCGACCACTAAGTAACGACAATTAGAAGTTTAACTTTTTGGATGAGATCTCTGTGTATCAATACAATGCAGACGCTTGTGAACATGGCCGATCTTTGAAAATATGATCATTCAAGCGCCTTGTGATTTTCATCACGTTATATCTACTGTAAAGAGTGTCACAAAAGAGTGAAAAAATGATGGAGATTAAATTTAGAAATAGAGGCGATGACGTAGACTACGTGCATACCCAAATCCACACACTACAAAATACTACTACTACTACTATAAAAGAGCATGCAAATAGTTTGTAAAGTTTGTCAAATGTAAAAGTGTTATGCCAGTCATTTTTTATCAATACATAGAGGCGATGACGTAGACTACGTGCATACCCAAATACACACACTACAAAATACTACTACTACTACAGTACTATAAAAGAGCATGCAAATAGTTTGTACAGTTTGTCAAATCTAAAAGTGTTATTCCAGTCATTTTTTTATCAATACGTTTTGCTATTAAAAACAATTTAATTGATGTTGGTCGTAAATTATAGAAGAAAAAAAACCTGTTCAGATTTTTGAGGCGTCACGAAAGCAAAAATGACTAAGCATTAAAGTCACTGTTGGCATAAAATGTATCTTTTCATAAAAAAGCTTATTTTCTGCATTTTTTTGGTCCGTTATAGAAGAAAAAAAACCTGTTCAGATTTTTGAGGTGTCATGAAAGCAAAAATGACGAAGCATTGAAGTCACTGTTGGCATAAAATGTATCTTTTCATAAGAAGCTTATTTTCTGCATTTTTTGGTCCAAAAGAGGTGAGTTGGGTGAAACCAACCCATATTCTACCGCTAATTACTAAAAAGTGAAATAAGGTAGAAACTAAATTTTCTTTGTGATGAAAGAAGAGAGTCGAGTCTTTAATTTGGTGATGATATATTCACCCAATATTCTGTGAGCCTTGAAAGATCAGTCAGAATGCGCGACCTTGGCTGGCACTTAAGAGTTCCGCTTTTTTTTTAAATTGTCTGACATTGAAAGAGTCGAGGCCAGTCAAGTGTTTTGTGATTAAGGACGATTTCAGTCAAAATCACATTCAAACACTTTCACTGCCACACAAATAGTCGGAAAAAAAACTTCAGCAACTATCCATGTGACGCAGTTATTGCAAAGCATTCTCTCCTCCTGTTACTTTCTTTAAATGTTATATTATGGTGTGTAGCGACCCTCCACTTGCGCTACATGAATTGGTGTTAAGGTTATAAAAGTTCCACATGTCGCTGATACCATGAAGAAATCAGAATTTGTGACTGGACGGGCGAGTCGGTGGGGGAGTTGATAACTGAAGAAACATATATGATGTCACCGATTAATCATTGTCAACCCTTTCTCAAATACTTTTTGCACTGAACTAAGAAAAAAAAAACAAAGCGGAATTAGCCCACTCTTGTTCTCAGTGGCTCAATTTAGCCTGGGCTTTGCTTCCTCGATCTTCCCTGCTTGATATTCCGGCCGCGTACTCGACTGTACCCTGCGGCTCCCAGCTTATTACTGTGGGCGTGATTGCCTTTGACATCATGCTAGCAACGTACGGATCGCACGTTCTCATTCGCCAGCTCTCCGGTTAAATAAGTGTGCCACGTACTTTATGTGCCAAAATCATTGGACATGATTGTCTCCGCCATGGATCAATAAGGCACAAGGAGGAAGAGGAGGAGGAGGATGGCCGCAATGTTAAAACGACAACTACCTGAGCTCTGTCGAACGCCATCAAAGAGTAATAACAAGTTACATGTGAGCCCTTGGCGATATGACTGCACATATACGTGCGGAATACGTGAAAGCATATCCAGTGAGAAGTGCAAAATGGCCAAAATGTTCCTAAAGGAGGCAGTTTACGCTTTTATTATGAATAGATTCAAATAGTCACATTTGGAGAATAAATTGTGATGGTTGTTGGTCATTGCGTTTACTTTCGTGTGAGAATTTTTTTCATTGACTGGTTAAAAATGATTTATTGCACAACGTTGCAACTTTTTCCCGTCTGATATCTGGCTACAAAGGCTGACGGATGAGATAATTGGAAGCGTTTGTTTGGGGATGACGATAAATGATCATGATGGCGGAGGACGCCGCACCCGGCGTGAACCACCGCCATGTTCCCGCCCATTGTTTGGCACTGATTGAGGAATGGAGCGAAATGCAGTACGTCCACGTATCTTTGCATCGTGTGCACTGGTCAGCGATCTCCATCGCGTTGTGCGGCTACGCGCGTGTGTTGTTATCGCGACGCTGCTCGGGGGAAGTTCACTGACAAATGAGGATGCGGTTTCGTCTGCCAGCCTGTTTGGCTTTGGACAAAAGAGATAAAGGCAATAATCAAATGGGTTACTGAAGACCGCAATGCTAAACAATCTATCAGAAGCAACCTTGTAATCATTACATTGTAGAGCTTGCCCCCCCCCCCCAAAAAAAAATATA